ACGCAGCTGCGCGCGGCTGTGTGTGGCTGTGGCAGCTCATAACGGGACGAGGGCGGGTAGCGCGGGGCGGGTGACAGGGCGATGGAGCAACAGGGCAGAACGAGCCGCCCAACTCGTCGCCACGATAGTAGGCAGCTCGTCGTCGCGCCCATCACGTCAGTCGCAACTAAGGGCGTGACGGGAGCCGCGAAACGAGGAATACGCGGTGGGCCCATGGCGTAGTTGAAAAAAAGAGGCAGGCCAGGATGTGACGAGCTCTGTACCATATCAAGAATAGTAGTTGAGGCCTAGGGTTCGACCTAGGCGAAAGTGACGAGAGAAAAGTGCAAGCCAAAAAAAAGGGTGTTCACTATAGAGCGAGCAGTACAAATAGGTAAGAATCAGGAAAGGTGCACCACCAAAACAGAACATTATATAACTACAGTAGTCTACACTACAGGCAGTTACAAAACAATATATAGATTTATATATTATTCTGACAGGCTTCACTGGGTCGTTTCCTCCTGGTACCCAGTGGAGCCTCCGGCGGCCAGTCTACGGTCTCCGCCAGGTGCCCCGTGAGTGGCACGACACACTGAGGACTACACTTGCGGCTCTTGGGTTTGCTCCTTCTACAGCCGACCTGTCGCTGTTTCTGCGCATCGACACCTCTTTGCCGCCGTTCTACATCCTCGTGTACGTCGACGACTTGGTCTTTGCCACTACTGACACTGCTGGACTCACCCACGTGAAGTTCGAGCTGCAGAAGAGACACACGTGCACATACCTGGGTGAACTGCGCAGCTACCTTGGCTTGCAGATCACCCGGGACAGAGCACAGCGCACCATTACCCTGACTCAGTCACACATGGTGTAGCAGGTCTTTCAGCGCTTCGACTTCACATACTCCTCGGCTCAGGCCACTCCTCTGTCTACTCGCCACTCACTCTCAGCTCTGCCTTCGGATGAGTCCGTAGAGCCGAACGGCCCGTACCCCGAGCTTGTTTGCTACCTCATGTACCTGATGACATTCACACGACCTGACCTTGCATACCCTCTTAGCATCTTGGCACGCTATGTTGCTCCTGGGAGACACCGACCAGAGCACATGGCTGCAGCGAAGAGGGTGTTGCGCTACTTGTGCAGTACGTCGGGCATGGGGCTAGTGCTTGGAGGGCGACGTCGAGTGGTCCTCACAGGTCACGCAGACGCTTCTTGGGCTGTCGACCAGGCTATGCAGCGGGCGTCACAGGGTTACTCCTTCAGCCTTGGCTCTGGCTCTGTTTCGTGGCGGTCTACCCGCTCGTCTTCTGTTCTCGGCTCCAGCTATGAGGCTAAGATCTACGCGAGGGCCATGGCTGCACAGGAGCTACGCTGGCTCACTTACTTGCTGACTGACCTAGGAGAGCCGCCTCGTTCTCCTCCAGTTCTGTACGTAGACAACAAGGCCATGCTGGCCTTGTGTCGGGAGCACAGACTGGAGCACAGAACGAAACACATTGCTCTTCGCTACTTCCTTGCTCGTGAGTTGCAACAGCGTGGTCAGCTGCGCCTTGCTTACGTGGCCTCTGAGGCCAACACTGTTGATATTTTTACCAAGGCACTTCCGCCTGGTGATCATCAGTGCTTCTGTACGACGCTAGGTCTTGTGCCTACTTGGCCTCACTTGCTCACTTCTTGACCTTGCTTGTACTACGATCTTTCTATACCTGCACTTGCCTGTTTACCTTCATATATGATCTTGCATGTGAACTGGCCTTTTGGCCTTGCTCTTGTGCTCGGATTGTGTGGTGACGTTGTGATCCACCCTGAGCTTGCTTTGCTTTGCTTGTCTGGTCTTGTGACCTCTTGTTCTCCCCCACTTTGCCTATGGGGGTGTGTCAAACATATATGCTATAGTCTGTGTAGGCTGTAGTGGGGTAGACCATATGGGGTACAACATTGCTAGGTTTTCCTACTTGTACCCACCTCTTTCCTAGTTCATTCATTCCTCATTCTTCACAACTATGACGCACTTATCTAAAAGCGGGCGAAACGCTTTGTTCATGGTCATTTGGAAAGTGGCGGGGGCGTTGGTCAGTCCGAAGGGCATGATGGTGTATTCGAAGGATCCGTGGCGTGTTCGGAAGGCTGTCTTAGAGCAGTCGGGTGAGTCGACGCGAATCTGGTGGTAACCTCCCCGAAGGTCAACTTTCGAGAAAACCCGGGCTGTGCGCAATTGGTCGATCAGTTTGTCGGCTCGCGGGATGGGGTAACGGGACTTGATGGTAACCCTGTTCAGTGCTCTGTAGTCTATGCACATGCAAAATCCCCCGTCTTTTTTCGGTATGAGCAGTATTGGTGCTGCGAAGGGCGACGAACTAGGGCGAATGAACTCCTTCTCGAGCAGGTAATCCAGCTGCTTCCTCAGTTCGTCCAGTTCGGGTTGGGTCAGTCGGAACTATCGCTGTACTGTCGGCTGTGCCCCCAGTTCTAGTTTTATCCTGTGCTCGTGCGGTCGCTGAGGTGGCAGTCCCGTCGATAGGTCGTCCGGGAAGATATCACTGTACTGCTTCAACATACTGCCAGATCACTCGGTACGTCGGCTAGCAGTTTCAGTAAATCCCCTCCTTTGTCTGCTGCCTCGGCTTCCCGAATGTCGACCGCGTACACGTCAGCTCCTGCCGCTACGGCGCGTTTCATCGTGATCGCGTTGACACGCACCGACGAAGAATCGGGCGAGCCCTAGCGAGGTAAGGCGATGTTGTTACCATTTACTCGCACAGCGCAGTCACCCGTCGTCCAGTCGATTCGCGGGTTGTGTCGTCGCAGCCAATCACGGCCGAGTAAAATGTCGGTTCCGTCGAGGGTCGTTGCGAGCATTTCCTGGCTAAACGTGAAATTACCCCCGCTTCGAATCCGAACTCGGTCCACCCGTTCCCGTATCGCCAGTGGCGTGCCATCGACCAGTCTTGCGTTAATCTCAGGTAAGCATCTGTCCAGTGGCAGTCGTAGTTTTCGTGCAGTGGCAGTGTTAATAAGACTGTGGCTGGCCCCTCCGTCTACGAAGATTTTTACTAAGTCTGTCCCGATTTTCCCACTAAGCAGTATAGGGCTGTCTACCGTAGTACCCTCCTTATTCGGCCGGGTGTGGTCGATTGCGTGAACCGGCACAATCAGTCGGTGAGGGTCGGTTGGGTCGGGCGAGCGGCGTGACCTGTTAGTAGAGGGCCAGTCTGCTACTGACTCCCAGCGTTTCCCTGCTGCTTGGTCTGTTTCTGCTGCTCAGCTTCCCCCTTTCCCTTAGAGTTTTCCGAGCATTCGCTCTTGCGGTGTCCCGGCCGATTGCACGCAAAGCAGCGCCCTTTGAACGGTGTGGCAGCACCATTTGCGGCGACGGCACGTATCGTAGCGCCCTCGTTCGTCCCACGAGGCCGATGTCCCCAATTGCTACTTCCGTAGGAACCTGGTCTCGGTCGGCGGAAGAAATCGAGTTTCTCCGCCATGGCGAGAATCTCCTGAAAATCGGTGACGCCGCGAAGCTGGATTTCCTGAGCGATGTCTTGCTTCAGGCCGCCGATGTAGCGGTCGATGCGCTCGCTCTGATGCATGTATCCCACCTGCTCGCATAGCGCCAGAAACCCGCTCGTGTAGTCTTGGACGGAACCGAGTTGGCGCCAAGTGCGGAGCCTCTATCGGGTCGCAATCGAAGCCGCAATTGGCTTGAAACGAGCGTGCAGACCTGCGCACCACGCGTCCCACGTGCGATACTGGGCCACCTCCACGAAATACGACGGCGCCCAGGGTCCGGTTTGTCCTTCCCGTGTCGGTAGAGTCGCGTAGTCCACCGGCTTCGTGACGATGACACGCCACCAGTCCATGGCGAGTCCTCGCAGCAACAACACGGCGTATCGAATCTTCGCCGTATCCTCCGAGACGTAGTTCGCGTCAAAGAAAACGTTCAACGTGAAGAGCCACGCCTGAACGATAGGACCACCCCACTGATTCCTGGCCGCATTCGTCGCGTCGGGGTGTGTCGTGCCGTGGTCGTCGTCTCCGTCATGGCGGACGACGCCATCACTTGCGGCGCTCGCGGGTTGCCCCACACTTCCGTGTTGCGATGTCTGTGGTGCGGGCTGAATCGGAGTGCCAGGTGCTTGGGATTGTGCTCGTGCGAGGTCATTTTGCAGGGACGTGCGTTCTGTCATCAGCGCCGCGATTTCTTCAGAGCTTTCGCGGATTTGCCGCAGCAGTTCGTTCAAGTGCTCCTGCGTGAGAGTCGCGACATCGATATGCTCAGCCATTACGAGGGACGTCGGCTCGGCTTAGTCTAAGCGCAGTCGTGGCTGCATGCATTTACGTGAGAACGCGAGGACAGCGGCTCCTAGAGGCTAAGGTGCGTGAGTCCCTTCGAGTGAAAAATCAAAAGTTGATTTCCTGGGGTGCGGAGATGCAGGGTCCGAAAAGAAAGAGGCTCTGATACCAAGTGTTACGGGTGCAATGAGTCGAAGTAGCGAGAATTGCACTAAGGTGTCAAACGAGTACAAAATGTGAGCGAAGGCATGAGCGAACATTTATACGCGAAACATGCAAACGGTAACGCGGTGCGTGCGAGCTAGCTAGTGCTACGCTGGAAGCGAGGCTCGGGCTAGTCCCGAAGCGTAGGCCGACACGGCCGGTCCAGCAGTGCGAGGTTTGGGAAAACAGTGCGCGCGAAGTCGGCGAAGCCCCGTTAGCAGTAACGGGCGAACAACGGCTGCTGCTGTACGCGATGTTGCAGGGCGCACTAAGGAATATAGAGAAAATTCCTTACAGTGTATCGTGATCCAAATTTTGACGTTGCGATCCAGAAAACGTCACGCGCTTTTTTTGAGTAAATGTCATCCTTCACCCTCTTCACCCCACCTCCTCATCACATTCCTGCTAGTCCCATCCGCGGAGCGCCGCCCATTCATGTCGCTACACCTTTCACTCTGCCCTTTCGACCCTTCATTTTGCCACAAGCCTCCAACTCGCGCCGTCCGGTTTGGTAGTATCTCCCCATGCCGCCCGCCGCCGCAATCCGCTTCCCCCTTCCGGTCCCGCGCACGCTCGGCGGCGCAGCCTCTCCCCACGCGGCATTTCTTCCTGCGTCAGACTCGCCGAAATCTGATCGCTCGCTCTGCGTTTCCCATTTCGACATCGCTCTGAAGCCCACTTATTATCCCGCGCCTCATTCTGCCTGCGCCTTGTGCTTTGGTGGGGGAAATCTGGGCCGCGGCGCCAAAGAACCGCGCCCTCGAAGAAGCGCGCAGTACGGCGGAGTGAGACAGGGAACACTCCGCGCGAGACCGGGGGATCTGCGCACCCCTCTTGCGCGCGTAGCGGGAGATGAAGGCGGAGCAGCGAGGGCGGGGCAAGGAACGGCGGGCGGAGCTGCGGGGGCGCCCGATGCGCGCGTAGCGCGAGTGATGCGCGTTTTACGGGAAGACCTGCCGGTGCAGTACGAGCGAGACCTGGATTGGTCCATCTACGATGCCAGCGTGGCATTCGTGGATCCTGTGACGCGATTGGACGGCCTATTTCTGTACAGAGGGATGATTACCAGCCTGAGGTTAATCACGGCAGTGGGATTCGAACCCGGGTCTCTCGTTTTCGAAGTGCACTCACTGGAAGAGGTGAGCAGTGCTTGCAATGCCCCTTTCTGTCTCACCGTCACTCTCCATCATCCTCTCGCCCCTCCCTTCTTCTCCCCCCCCCCCACCCCCCCCCCCCTCCCCCCTTCCCCCCCGCCCCCATCGTCACCCGCCAACCCCCCTCCACCCCCTCCCTCAATCTCCTCATCCCTGTCCCCCTCTCTCCTTCCCCACTGCGCACACAGCATGTTAGCAGCTTCTAAGGAACGGCTGCAACATGTCCCCCGCTCTCGTGCACACAACTTCCAGACATCGCGACGTAGCTTCCCCTCTCCTCCCCCCCTCCTCCCCCCTCCTTCCCCCCTCCTCCCCCTCTCCTCCACCCCCACTTTCCTGTTCCCCTCTCCAGGTCCTTCCCGACGCGCGCACCCTCTCGCCCTTCCCCCCGCGTCCGGGGCTGGAAGGGTGTGTGGGGGAGGCGGTGGGCGCAGTGCGGAGTGTGTGGAGCACAAGGGGGCAGACTCGGTGGGGGAAGGCGCTGAGCATCACTGGAGGTGCGTTGGGCATCACTGCAGGGGAGGCAGTGAGTGTTTGTGGGGGAGGTGGTGGGTGCAGTGGGGAGAGTGTGGAGCACGAGACGAAGGGGGGCAGTCAATGGGGGAAGGCGTTGAGCATCAGTGGAGGTGCGTTGGGCATCACCGGAGGTGCGTTGGGCATCACCGGAGGTGCGTTGAGTATCACTGGAGGGGCGAGTGCAGGAGGTGCGACAGTGCGGGTGTGGGGGAGGCAATGAGTGTGTGTGGAAGGGGGGGATGCGAGCGTAATGTGTAGATGTGAGTAAGGGAGAGGCAGCAGATGCGGGAGGGAGTGAGTGTTGGGAAGGGGGGAAGTGAGTGTTGGGAAGGGGGGGAGTGAGTGTTGGGAAGGGAGGGAGTGGGGAGTGGGGAAGCGTTGTATTGCACACCGTGTTTCCATCAATGTGTACCCAGGGTCCTCGCTAGGTTTTGAACCCCCCTGATGCATCAGACGGGCCCTTCGGGCCCGTCTGATGCATCAGAATTTTTGCTTTTGAGTGTCTGACGAATCAGAAATTTTCAAAAACCTTGTCTGACCAATCAATACAGAGTTACAAGTGTGGGAAAAAAATTGAGTCGAACTTCTCTCTCGCCTGTCACATCCATTCGAAGGGCACACAACACTCACCCTGTCATACTACATTCGCCCCGTCACACCACATTCGCCCCGTCACACCACATTCGCCCCGTCACACCACATTCGCCCCTTTTCACCACATTCGCCCTATCACAAGAGGGGTTCGCACTGCGTATAAAGATTGCAACGAGTCAACCTGTCACAGCAGTGATCCATGCACTGTCACAGGAGAGATTCCCTTCCCACCGCTGGAAATCGCGATATGCTATGTTTCGATTTCAGACGAAACAGAAAACACGTGTCTGATAGAACAGATGGAACTAAAAACCATTTCTGACCCATCAGACGGCTTAATGCACCCATTTCTTGAAAATCAGATGAGTGAAAAAAAATCTGTCTGATTTCTCAGAAAAACAGACAAAAATGTCTGATAGCGAGGGCCCTGTGTGTACCATTCCCTTTGCTGGTCCCTTTCCCATCATCCTCCTGCCTTGCTTGCTGCTGCCATGCAGACGACGTCTTTCGTGTCAACAGCACGGGCAAGATCATCACACATGAATCAGCGTGGAATGAATCTCCATCACAAGTATGGGAGGCATTCAGACTATAGCCCGCCCGTCAGAAGTACAGCAGAGCCCTCATCACGTACCCGTCAACCCAATTGTTGACATTCGTACAAACTGTTTCTTCATCTAGTATTACCTGCGCTGCACTTTAATATGAGGACCGGAAATAAGTGCAGGGTTTGGATAGAGGCGTATGAGCTTATCGTAGATCTGCCCCTACATCCAGGATGACATGGTAACTGCAATTACCATGGCGGCTTGCCTGCACAATCTTGAGGCGCCATGGAGATCTGCTGCTTCGAGAATGCCATGCTAGTATCTGGTCTGAGGGCTGGAGCCTGGAGCAACCCGCACTGCCATAGAAAGGGTAGGCCTTGCCAAGGTTGACACGCAGGAAACAGCAGACTGACACATGAAACCCTGAGAGTCTGGAGATTTCCATCTTTGCTATAGTAACATGCGTCGTAAACAATGAGGATGCTTGCTTTTTACAACCTAGGTACAAATCAGTCCTTTCCAAAGTCCGCTGAGTAAGAAGCACTTGACTCCAATTTCTTGGCATCCGTGATCTTGCGCACTGCCTGCAGAAAAAAAAAGAAAAGGTAAAAAATGTATATATATTAAAAAGTGAACGCAAATTGAAATACATCAGCTTCTTTTCCATGCACTAGCAAAACCACCAAATATCAGACAATGTGCGCCTGACAGCACTCACCTTCATGAAGTCCTCATGCACAACATAGTCGCGGTCGTCTCTTATGGCAAACATGCCCGCCTCCGTGCACACGTTGCGCAGATCAGCCCCGTTAAAGCCCTGCATGCACAGCCAACCCGGTGTGAGTTGGTATGCCAACCAGATGGGGTTGGTATGGATGAGGTAAGAAAGTCAAGCAGGTCGGGCATCCCTGATATGTCGTGCTTTCAAGGGCTCTCAGATATGCGCTCATAGAGGAGAGGAGATACCGGAAAATGGCACAAAGGGTGGATAGAACAGGGGAGGGAAGGGGGAATAGGGAGGGAGATGATTGCAACAGGGAAGAAGAGGAGGAATGGGGTAATGCAAAGACGGGTTCACCTCAGCCAGCTGAAGCCTTGCGGCGACTCATCTCAGCGAGATTGACTCACCTCAGCGAGATTGACTCACCTCAGCGAGATTGACTCACCTCAGCGAGATTGACTCACCTCAGCGAGATTGACTCACCTCAGCGAGATTGACTCACCTCAGCGAGATCGACTCACCTCAGCGAGATTGACTCACCTCAGCGAGATTGACCCACCTCAGCGAGATTGACTCACCTCAGCGAGATTGGCTCACCTCAGCGAGATTGACTCACCTCAGCGAGATTGACTCACCTCAGCGAGATTGACTCACCTCAGCGAGATTGACCCACCTCAGCGAGATTGACTCACCTCAGCGAGATTGACTCACCTCCGCGAGATTGACTCACCTCCGCGAGATTGACTCACCTCCGCCAGCTTAACGGATCTCGAGCACCTCGAAGCGCCCCTGCTGAATTCTGTATAGAGCATCTTGACAACTCACCTCAGCCAGCTTGACTCACCTCGGCCAGCTTGACAATGGCCTCGTAGTCGATCTCCCCATGCTTGGTGATGCCGAGCGCGTGGATCTTGAGCACCTCGATGCGCCCCTGCTCGTTGGGCAGCGGGATCTCTATCTTGCGGTCCAGCCGCCCCGGCCGCAGCAGCGCCGGATCCAGCACGTCGGGCCGGTTGGTGGCCATGATCATCTTCACCTGGTGAAGGTTTAGGGTTTGGGGCGGGTGCACGGGGGTACAAGGAGGGGTGATGGGAGGGGTGTGAGGGACAGGGAGTAAAGGGAGGGCCGCAGCAGCGCCGGGTCCAGCACGCCCGGCCGGTTGGTGGCTATGATCATCTTCACCTGCGGGTACAAAGGGAGTAGAGACATGGAAGCAGGGTACAAAGGGAGTAGAGACATGGAAGCAGGGTACAAAGGGAGTAGAGACATGGAAGCAGGGTACAAAGGGAGTAGAGACATGGAAGCAGGGTACAAAGGGAGTAGAGACATGGAAGCAGGGTCCGAAGGGAGTAGAGACATGTAAGCAGGGTACAAAGGGAGTAGAGACATGGAAGCAGGGTACAAAGGGAGTAGAGACATGGAGGCAGGGTACAAAGGGACGGTAGCCATGATCATCTTCACCCGGGAATAGGCGAGTTGGGCATACGGAATGGAGAAAACAGAAGCTCTGGCTTGTGGATTCACGTGCCCTGGGGCAAAGAAGAGCACGTTAAAGGACTGTTGGTGGGCGTTACCATCTTCACATGGTTACAGACGGAGTGAACACACGGAATGGAGGAACGCTTCCCACAGCCCGCCAACAACCTTGCAACACGAAACACGCATGCAATATGGCAACCAAAGGAGGCAAGACAGAATATCTGACGCCCGCAAGGCCAGACAGACAGCGTACCCGTCCGAGCTGATCAAAGCCGTCCAGTTGGTTCAGCAGCTCCATGAGCGTCCGTTGGATCTCGCGGTCGGCGCTCGTGCCCTCGCTGAAGCGGCGCCCGCCAATGGCGTCGATCTCGTCCATAAAGATGATGCACGGCTGGTGGTCGCGCGCATAGTTGAACATCTCCCTGATCAGCCGCGCGCTCTCCCCGATGTACTTGTCGACAATGGCGCTTGACACGACCTGCACGGATGGGAAAGGTGCAGCGCAAAAGAGGAACAGTCGTATGACTCGTCTCTCAAGATCATGCGTGGCTGGCGGTTGCGTGTGTCAAGACCCATACGCAGGAAAGGGAGCAAAGGGACCCAGCCAGGTGGAAAATGGTCCAACGCTCTTTAAGGTGTAATGCGGCGTTTGCATGCGACCAGGCAGGCAGGTGGGTAATGGACGGACCCACACCACACACCTTGAGAGGTGCAGGCAGGTGGGTAATGGACGGACCCACAACACACACCTTGAGAGGTGCAGGCAGGTGGGAAATGGACGGACCCACAACACACACCTTGAGGAAGTTGGCGTCGATGTTGCTGGCGATGGCACGCGCAAGCAGCGTCTTGCCGGTCCCCGGCGGGCCGTACAGCAGCACGCCCTTGGGGGGTTTGATGCCCACACGCAGGAAGAGCTCGGGGTTCATGAGGGGCAGCTCGATGGACTCCCTCAGCTCGCGGATCTGGTCTCCCAACCCGCCGATGGCACTGTAGCTCACGTTCCCCGGGTCCTCGTGCAGCATGTTGTACACCAGCGGGTCCACCTGGGCGCGTTGGTTGTGTGGGGGGGGGGGGGGTGGGGGGGGGGGTGGGGGGGGGGTATGAAGGGTGCGTTGAACCCGCTGGTGGCAGAAAATCTCTCGTCCTCTGGGTCCTCGTGCAGCATGTTGTACACCAGCGGGTCCACCTGGGCGTGTGGAGGGGGGGGGGGAGAGGGTATGAAGGGGTGGGAAGCAGGAGCGACGGGGGGGGAAGAGCTCGGGGCAACCGGTAAAACTCCCTCAGTCCGCCGATGGCACAATAGCTCTCATTCCCTGGGTCCTGGTGAAGCTTGTTATACACCGGTGAATCCACCTGAGAGGGCGGGGGGATGGCGAGAAGTAAAGTGTGCGGGGGAGTAAGCAGCAAGAGGGGCAGCAGAAAGAGCAGGTTGTATATGAAAGGGTTCGGTGTATCTAGGAGTGCAGAGGCAGGGAAGTGAGAGGGCGGTGAGAGAGAGTGTGTGCACACGTAGGGAAACAGAAGCAGGTTGCGTGCTCGCGCAGAGCAGAGCACGCATGATGGAGAGGGTGGTCACGCCGAGCGCAGCACCCTTGCTGACAAGCCGTTACGTGCTGCTTCGTTCAAATGGAAAACAACGGTGCCAAAGGCATTACATCCTGCTGAGCCCACCTCCCGGGGCAGCGTGCGCATGATGGTGAGTGTGGTGTGGTCATGTCGAGTTGACTTGTGAATCTGACTCAAAAGTCAATTGCTGAGCTCACCTCGCGGGGCAGTGCGCGCATGATGGTGAGTGTGGTCATGTCCAGCGCCACCCGCGTGCCGGCTGTGAGCTTGCTCTTGTCCACCTTGCTGCGACACCCCACCACGTACCGCGGGCCACTGCTCGCCTTCACAATCACTGCGCGCGGGAATGCGCGGAGAGCCAGGGGAGTGGGGGAGGGACAAGAGACACAAGTGTTGGCTGTGAGCTTGCTCCTGTCCTCCTTGCTGCGACACACCCCAGCACATACCGCGCGGGCCACTGCTCGCCTTCACAGTCACTGCGCGCGAGCTGTTATGTGGGTGGGGGGTCAGGTAAAAAGTGAACTCTTGAGGCTTCTCAGACCCCACCACGTACCGTGGGCCGCTGATGGCTTTCACTATCACTGCGCGTGGGGATGGATGGCGGGGGAGCGAGGGACTAGACACAAATTCCGCGGTGAGCTTGCTCTTGTCCACCTTGCTGCGACACCCCGCTACGTATCCACTGCTAGCTTTCACAATTACTGCGAGAGCAGTGCGATTGCTGCCCATCAGTGCGAGCAGCCAAGCGTGGAAGGGGGGGGGGGGGGGGGGGGGTAGAGGAGGGACGACACACGTCTGACACAACCACACGAAGCAATTCACATCTCTCATCAACTCACATCGCTCCATCAACCCTCACGGACTCACGTCGCTCCATCAGCCCTCACGGACTCACGTCGCTCCTCGTCCAGTTGTCGCAGCACCTCGCCTATGATCTGCCCCACGCTCTGCAGGGCTTTCAGGTCGTCCTCCGTCTTGTCGTAATCCTTCCGCGCGCCCTTCAGATTCTCCCGCACTGCATATCGGATCATACCAAATCGAATCAAATCCCAGACAGGCACACCAGGAAATCGACAAATGTAACGAACTCCAACAACACGAGAAAATCATAAACAGAACAAATTCTGGTTGTAGCGTGAACAAGGAGAGATTGGAGAGGCGGCGAGAACGCTATCACGTAATTACAGATCCAGCCGCTGACTTAAATAAAAGAGAAGGACTAAGGAGCAGAAATTAGCTACGTACGCGTCTTAACTCGCGCTTCTAACTCCCGGAGCTGAAGCAGCTTCTTGCGATAGTCCACCAGCGCTTGCTGCTTCCGCTGCTCCTCCACCGACACCGCCGCTGCCGCCGCTTCTATCGGATCTGCCTCCATTGCGACTCGCCGCCTTCGCAAGCTATGAGCAGCAAAGGGGAGGGAATGGACGCCGGTCAGGGTGAATTTGGCAAAATTCCTGGATTTGGAGTGGATGGATGCTCGACGGGGAGGTGAGGCTAGTGATCGAGATGCGAGTGCGACGAATGATGCGATTCTGACTGTATTTCTGATAGGATTCCTGTCAGGCGGACCGAGGCGGAATGACTGACTGGTAATCACGGCCTATGTCGAAGGACGGACCGCAAAGGATCACTCGAAGACTGACCCAACAATATAATCTCACAAACCACTATAAGCACACCTTGAACGACGGATTTGCGCCAGAAACGGGCTCGATTACAAAGGCAGACGAACGCAGCGGAGTCAGCGGTTAGAGACACACCACTCCCACGATAACAAGTGAGCTGTGCCCTACGTCTACGAAACGAAGAACTCAATGGCCGCTTTACGCTTCGTCTGACAGCAGAGAAGAGAGCAGTCTGAAACTGGAATCCTGATCTGGGATGGTCTGCTGGGGATGAAATGGCAACGTAAGGGAGGTCCTTGAGATCTCGCTCCGCGATATACGTTTGATTGTTCAGGAAAAATATAATGAAGCACCGTACTGGTCACGGTACCGAGAGTATCGAGGAGGAGTTGTTGGCGAGGATGAATTCTACAGAAGAGAAATAAAACACTCTAAGGTTAAAACTAGAATCTTGTTGCGATATGGTTTGAATGAGAATACCCTTTTGCTCGTAACAGGAGCAAGCAGTACCGAGGATGACGTCGAGAGGTAAGGTAAATCGAAGTGACACAAGCACCTGTCGGACCGATACATGCAGAAACATTTTTTTACTATATGAAGTTCTATGAGAAGGCATTCCTGTATGCTGTAGGAGCCGACTCTACCGAGTACGAAGTCGAGGAGTCAGAAGAGTCGAAGCGACGCGGCAACCGCCTGACCAAGACCGATGCAGGCAGAAACATTTGAAGTGAAAAGAGCGGGAACAGGTTCAAAACGGGTTCCCGCGCCGCACGGTTTGAATTTGCTGTAATAAGGAAATGTATCCCTTAGAGTACATGGCTAGTCTAGGTCTTTTCGTATTCCCCTGTATTCTTATAAAAACCCGATATATGCATGCTTTTATCAACTCATTCATTTACATTCACTCTGACATGAGATTCAAATTTCTGCTGCAACACTACTTTGCGATCAACCCTGAGCGATCCTTTGGTAAGTCCCACTTGGGATTGTAACATGGTATGAGAGCTACTCAGGGATTCTTCGCAACATCACTTCCGTGAAATTTGTCGAACCAAGATCTGTCAGAAGTCTAGGCAGGAATGAATGCAGTATGAAAGAGTTGGGTACAAGTATGAAACCCTAAACGAGGCTGTACCCCATATTGGCTACCCCACTACAGCCTAACTATATGTATTATACATATGATTTGACACACTCCCATAGGCAAAGCGGGGGAGAGCAAGGGGTCACAAGACTAGTCAAGAGAAGCAAAGCAAGCTCAGGGTGGATCACAACGTCACCACACATACTGAGCACAAGCAAAGGGATACAAGGCCAGTTCACAAAGAGAGGTATATAAGCAACAACAACAGCACAGTGATCTCTACCTAGCAGAGCAAACATGCAGGTATATATATATAGATCACAGTACAAGCTAAGTCTACCGCAAGTGAGGAAACGTGGGCACAAGGCCTAACAAAGTGCAAAAACGCTGATGATCACCAGATGGAAGTGCCTTTGTGAATATATCAGCAGTGTTGGCCCGAGTGGCCACGTGAGCAAGACGAAGCTGACCACGCTGGTATCACCCAAGCCCCCACCACCGCCGCCACCACCACTCCCCCCTCCGCCACCACCGCCGCCGCCACCGCCGCCGCCACCGCCACTGCTCCCGGCACCACCACCGCCCCCACCACCACCTCCACCCCCACGACCACCCCCACCATCTCCACCTTCCCTGCCGCCTCCACCACCGCCCCCTCCACCGCCACGTCCGCCACCCCTGCCTCCCTTGGAGCCGCTGCGCTTCCCACTAGGAGCAGAAGCAACTGCGACCTTCTCAACACCAAGGAGGTTGACAGCAGCAGCTGCGGAAGCGTAGGAGGGGGTAAGAGGGGAGGGGGAGCACCCCTCAAAGAGGGGAGTGCGAGGAGTACCACGAGCAGCACCTACAGCAAGGATGTTCTTCTTTGCTTCTAAGAGGTGCTTCTCGAAGTCGGCGACAGTGAGAGTGGTAGGGTCTAGGGCTAGGAAGTGGTCCCTGACGGAGCTAAGAGTGTCAGGGAGGCGGGTGACGAGGAAATAGAGAGTGAAGTACGTCGGGGGGGGGGGGGGTTCTCGGCGCAGAACTCGGCTGGAAGGGTGGCACGAAAGCGAGTGTCACTAGCGCGAAGGTGAGAAATGAGGTTCTCAGCAGTGGTAAACGAGGACAAGTCTGGGAACAGGTAGGGTAGCATGAGCCGACCTAGGGGTGCAGTGGCCGGGGAGGAGTAGCGCGCAACTACAGCGTCATACAGTGCCTTAGTAGTTTTGTGCTGGCTGAAATGCGCGCGCTCAGTGATCGGCAGATGATTTCGAATAGCAAGGCGTGCAGCGGCATCGCGAGTCTGCCACTATGAGCGTTCCAGAGCGGTAGCATCGTCAGCAGGAGCAACGGCAGTGCCAAACGCATAATGGAACAGTGAAACGCCGTCTTTGGCATCAGTCAGAAGAGACAGCTGGAGATTGTCTAGCCACGTGGTAAACTCTATCGGGCGACCGTCAGGCTCAAATGCGAGAAGTGCAGGCAAAGACAGTAGGCAAAGGCAGTAGGCAGCAGGTAGCAGGCAAAGGGCGCGAGCAGCAAGGGCGGCGCGCAAAGCAGGCGTAGGCAGCTACAGTAGCGCGCGGGGCAGCAGCAGGCCGCGCGCAGGCTGCAGAAGCACGGCTCTGTTGGTGCAACCCTACGGTTTGCACTCGGCTTGTTGCCCGTGTGCGTGCATGCGTGTGTGCATGGAATGGAATGAGTGCATAAAATAAATATATATTTCATGCTTATAATAGTGTGTGTATGATGGGTCATGATGTCGCGAGTGTGTGTGTCGAGTCAATAGCGAATTATCGCTAGTCGCGTGTAACGTGGTTATTTTCTGTGTCCCGCGCGGTTTCTATTTTGTCGTGCGCGGTTTGTATTTTGTCGCTTGTCGAACGTTCCGCGTGTCGCAAGTGTGTGCAACAGACCCATCAAGAACTCAAGGATGAGTTTGTGATGAAGAACCCGAGCCTTGGTTTCAAGATTCCAGTGATTTCGAAGCTCGCCAAAAGGGTACACTTCAAGATATCGAAGAAGTTACATTACAATGTGTAGTGTAACATTTCTATTGGTGTAGACCCTTGTGAAGGGTAGGTTCGAGACCCTTCTTGGTTGGGGACAGTGAGGCACTGTTCCACATCACTGTATCTCGGCTCTTGGGGTTTGTAAGAGCTGGGAGTCATTCCCAACTCGTAACTCTTCCTAACTCTTCCTATCTTGTGTTCTAAGACTTTAGTGGCTGCCATAGTGCCGTTCGATCAAACCAACGCTGTGTCTTCAATACTTAGAGAAATCGTGCGATCTAAATTGCCTATTGTAGGCAACGTTAAGACGCTCTGGATCCAAGTGAAATCAGGTCATTTGAAGCTATAACCAGAACACTAAGAAAATTTAAAGCAGATGTGCAGAAATCCGACTGTGCACTCTATCCTTCGTTTTAGGCACATTGAAGCCTATTGTGACTATAACAAGTGGTATCAGAGCCAGGTTGGAGCAGTTTCGACAATGGCTGGACCTGGAGAGAGGGGTGGCAGAGGTGCTGGTGGCAATGGAGAAGCCCAAGCACAAGGCCAAGCCCGTGAGCCAGCCGTGGCGCCCGTGCAACCGACTCTTGGACCTTCTAGGGACGAACCAAGAGTGTTCGGGCTTGACAAGTTCAGCGGCGACAACTTTGCTGAATGGTCATTCAGAATGGAGAACGTGTTCGACCATAATGACCTGCTGGAGGTGATGGAAGGAACGGAGAAGCGTCCCGAGAACGACCCGGAGAAGAGCCCGTGGGTGCGGAAGAGCGCACAAGGCTACCTCCTACTTGGGCAAGCGTTGGGGAGCAGCCAAATCCGTCACATCAAGCCTTTCCAGCGTGAACCAGAGAAGGGACCAAAAGCATGGGCTGCTCTCAAGGGTGTACACGCTCCTGCAACAGCGGCGGTAGCTGTGGTGTTGGAACAGCAAATGGCGACGTTACAAATTGAAGAGGATGAAGCGGTTGAAGAAGGGGTGCAGAAATTCTTCGACTTGTTGACGCGTCTTGAGGGAGCGGATTTGAACTATAGTGAGCTCCAAAAGAAGACCAAGTTGCTGGCCCTACTCCCCGAATCATGGTCCTCGCTCATCATCAACCTGAATCGCGACTTGCCCCGCCTCTCGCTCGAAGACGTGAAGCGGGCTATCCTTCAAGAGGATTTCCGCCGCCGTGAGTTGGCGAGTGCGGATGGCGTTGGGGCAGCGAGCATCGGCCGTGGATATGGTCGAGGAAGAGGCAAAGGACGAGGGGGAGGAAGGTTTGGTGGCAGCAACTTCAGCGGAGGCCGCGGGAGTGGCGGTTACGGCAGCGACGACAAGAGCTACGGACGCGGTCGCGGCCGATTCGACGGCGAGTGTCACTATTGCCACAAGAGCGGACACATGTGGCGCGACTGCTACAAACTCCCTGATGGTTGGACCCCTGCTCAAGGCCAAGAGGGTAGAGGAGCAGGAGGAGGGAGAGGACGAGGCCGTGGAGGCCGTGGCGGTCGCGGTGGCGGAGCTGCAAACATGAAGGGCGGAGACAACGACAAGGACCCGAGCGACGATTGGTACCCGGGTCTATTCTACTTCGTGTCGACGCAAGTACCGGCTGGTCCAGAGAAGGATGAAGGCTTTGAGGAGCCAGCTGCTGTGGGGCAGGTGAACCTACACCCCCTGGACTATTGGGTG